TATATATATATATATATATATATATATATATATACCATAAATTATGATCATTACAATCACATGTACCTCTGCAGAATAGTTGCTAAACGAACATCAACCCCTTCACAGAAAAATAAATAAGTAATAATAAATAAACAAACACACTGTAAATATGAATGCAAACAGTACACAGTTTTGGTACTTTTAATAATCCCTTCTCCTGGGTAGCAGTTCTAGTCCAGATCAAGCATACTATTACCTTACATCTTAGTGAAAGTGTATATGAGCAAATTGTGTATAATCAAATTAGTGTATCCACTCAAAAAATAAATTCTGGCTATAAGGTTTTGGAAAACTAAGAATCAGAAGAAGGCAATAATCATGTCTGTATAATTACATACTGGAGTACAATGTACATTATTTTACATGTTAATATAATACAAAATGTATGTCTGAACTTACTATGAGTTCCTCTTCTGAAGAGCATAAATCTTATACAAGACAAACAGGAGGGCCAGAGACACAAGAACAATAAAGAATGCCAGGAATCCAATTACAGCTTTATCATTATCTGGAACAGAGGACAAAATAAAACACAATTACATCATTCAGTTTCAAGTGTAGACTAATCAAACAGCAATATTTGTAATAAGTGGAGGGTATGATTGCTGTCAGCCAGATCAAGCTATAAGGAGTATCATATCAGGTGCTCTTTATGTACAAACATAACTAAAGAAAAAGATGTCAGATTAGAAACAATGCATTTCAACATCTCACATGATTATTTTTTTTATTGATCTACAATTTCAAGTCTTTTGCATGATCCCTCTGTTGCAGTAGCATTACAACACCACTGTAAATAATATACGAACGTGTCATACAATAATTCTTCCATTAAATTTAGTGTGATGTTAGCATTGATCAGTAAAAATGCACCTAGATTTTGATTAAATAAGAAAACTTATTTAACCGCTTTCTGACCCTAATGCCAGTTCAGCATGGCCAGCATGGTAGTCTGAAACACATTTATGACTGTATCATGTAAAGCAGTGAATATACATATAATACATAAAAACTTACACTTGGTATCAAACGTCTTGGATACAGCATCACTGTAAAACTGGCCATTCCCCACTTTAACCTAAAATATGAAACATGATTATTTTTATATAAAGCAATGCATTTTAATATACAGATGAATATGTTGAGATTAACAAGTTTTTATAATAGTTATTGTTGGATTGTGATGTATACTTAGCATCCTACAGAATCTTAGACATTACACATAAAGGAGGTGAAACATTTAAGTAGAATGACAACTGCTTTATGAAGGATTATTCCTTTTTCAAACTTTTCTGGTGAACTTTTTTTGTCATGTTGCTGTTCCTCGGAAATTCTGGATAAAACAAATTTATTCTCAAAGAATCCTTCAAGGAAGAATCTGATTGCACATTAATGAAGTTATTGTTTATTTTACTTTGAAAACTTTTAGGGGGGTCGTTGATTTTGCCCACCAGAGTGCTGAACACAGTTGCATCCAGTGAAATCTGGCAAAACACCTTCCATCACAGATATATGAGAAATTACTGTACCCACTTTGCTTTTGCCGTCGGCCATGTTTTATCTGTACTACTGCTAATGTTTTCGGCGGTCAGGTATATGGGCGTGAAAAGTAATAAGCAAAAGATGAAAAATTGGAGTTTTGACTTATTTAGCTATGTTTTTTGTAGCAAAGACTTAGCGGATTTTCATCTCAAAACCGACGAGTACTACGACGAGACACATTTGGGTTAGTAACTGAAAGCATTTCACACTACTCAACAATACCAGGTCACTGAAATGTTACCACCATTGTCCTCAAAATACATTAAATCATTTACACATTAATATTGTTGTAGATGCAACATATAATGAGTATAAATGATTATTATTTTGTCGTTGTCAAGATATTTTGCTGTGCTATGAAGGAAATATTCCAGTCAGTGTTTAAACATTTAAAGTGAAATGTGGCACGATGTGGCAGACAAAGATGAGTAAACTGAAAGACAGTACCTTCACAATGTACGATGATAAATAATAAAGATCTTCAAAAGAAAACTTGCATTCTTTAAATTTTTTGGGTTCTTCTGCATCATAACCAGTCCTTTGTATTGTTGCTTCATATATTTTTTCAGAACCATAAAAACTTCCGCCAAAATTACACGAAAAACTGAATGAATTATGACTTATTTCTTTAAAATCGATAATTGTAATGCTCCCGCTCGGTTCTGTAAAAAACAAAAAGAACACAATTACTATAGAAATGAAATCCAAACGAACCACATAGTAAATGATTGCAAATTGAATACTGACACACTTGGGCGGCACAGAGACTCAGTGGGTATCCCTGTTCCCTCACACCTCCCAGGTTGAGGATCCCGCTCCGGCTCTGTCCCTCTGCAGTCTGCATGCTCTCCCTGTTCCCTCACACCTCCCCGGTTGGGGATCCCGCTCCGGCTCTGTCCCTCTGCAGTCTGCATGCTCTCCCTGTTCCCTCACACCTCCCCGGTTGGGGATCCCGCTCCGGCTCTGTCCCTCTGCA